TTCTCCAAATTAAAATGCTTCTTATGAGAAGAAACAAAACTATAATCAGCAGTTATCAAGTGGAAGGAAGTTATAACAGAAGCTAAGAATCTTAATGTAGGCTTAAGAACAAAAGAAGAAAGTATTTAAATAAACTAGGAATTAATTTATGTCATATACATCTGAAACTAGGTAAAGACGTGAAAACTCCCAGTCTTCTTGTAGAAAAGCAAAAGGTGTCAACAATTATTTTTGTGTATATTTGGAAAAAGTAAAAGAATATATTAATACCTTAGTAACAAGATATTAGTGGTTGTACAGGATAATTAACAGTGATCATGAGAGATCAGTTACTTTTTAGTTTGCACCTGAACACACGCACCAAAGGATACTAGAATAGCCTGAGGATTGATGTAAACAATTATATTTTTTACAATTTTAAAATAAAATTTTGATTCCAGGAGAAATTTCAGGCAGCTAGACAAAAGTTACTGTGTTAAATGAAAAGGGAAAAAAAAAAAAGTGATGGATTAAAAAACCCAGCAAACAGAAAGCAACAATGGCTCCAATTCGCAAACATTTATTCACCCTGAGGTCTGCTGCAGCACAGTATAGAACTGCATTTCTCTGTGGCCTAATTTTGCACTGCTGAAAGAAACTTGAGAAAAATGGAGAACTGGTCCAATGACTACATAATGTGTACAAACTGAAAAAATTCTCAATGTTCTGACTTTGGTGAAAATAATTTCTCAAGCTTAAATCATAAATAAAAATGCTTGCATTTAACATACAGTCTACAGCATATGTTTGCAAAACTAAATAACCGCCTGTGTTTACATGAGATATATGATGTTCAGTTTGATTTGCATATCGGAGATCAGGCTGTAAATCTCTGACGATATTTACAGTTGGATAATTGAAATTAATCCTGCCAAAATGACTTTGACAGTCCTGAATTTATGGTCTGAGAAAACAATCCTGGAACTGTTTGCCGAGCTATTAACATGGCTGGCTATATATTTTCAATCTGAGCTATGCTGCTGCATAAAAACCTGTTCGCAAATTATAAACCCTTCTTTTCTTCCCCTACTTCATGTTCAAATTGCTTCCATAATCATTAAGAAGATGGGATAACCTTGAAGATAGCAGATGTGCCTGTGTGTTTATTTTTCTAACCGTGCCAGGTACATTCGTTATCCTTCTTCCCCGCCCCTCGCCCCCATAGATGTTATGCCATTTTCTTTTTAATTTCCTTCAAAAGTAGCCAGTTCTCCCAGCAGAAAGCATCAAGAAGTTCCAACACTAGAACTCAGACTCCCTCAAATCCTACAGTAACTTGGATCATAGTTGCATCTCAGCATGTATCTGGGTCTTCAGGGAAGAAGAAAGGTGCTTAGATTTTGTTTGTTGTTTTCTTTTTTGTTTTTTAAACTCAGATCATATCTTTGAATAGAAGGCACATAAATTGTCAAGGAGAACAACATTGTTAACTACAAAGCTACCTCACATTATCCTCCCAGTAGGAATGCCATTTGTGGCTCGATATACAACAGAAACTTCCAACATACACAAAAGAAAAATGTTTGTGAATAATATCCATTGCAAACCCCCCCCACATAATGCAGCAGTAATTTCACCTTCTAATAAAACAAAATTCAAACAATTAGCAGGCTGAATTTTCTTATCATTTGCAAAGAATTACATAATTTATCAAAACTGTTGGCAACCTTTTCCTATTTAAGAGATGTTGCACCTTGCATTCTTTGAACTCCAATAATGAATTTGATGACTGTGAAAGTTGCACCTTGGGTTTTGTGCTAAAAGACAGCAGCCAGCCTCCCCACTTTCTCGATACTAAGTTTTCAACCACAGAGAACTCTGTTGTAGGTATGTTTATAGATAAAAAGTACATTTCTCATATATAAAAGCAGCTTTTTCAAGTCTGTAAATAAAAATACAACTGCCACCCATTACAGAAATGTACGTATTTATATTTGTAGCATTTATTTACAACACATCTCTTTTAGAAGGATGGCGACGATAGCTGTGATATTCATTGTGCTTTCTCCCCCCCCCCCCCCCCAATATGCTGCTTTCCAAGATCATTCAATTTGAAAGCAGGCATCCATCCAAACATGTAACATTAAGGAGGAAAGACAGCTCTCATTTATAAAATGTTAATTCCTTATTAGTGGAAAAAATAAATCACTAGATCAAGCAGAGTAACTGTGATCGCTGATTATTATCCTACCACAAGTAAGTTACATCGTGCTCTGTCCCCTGTTCAGAGCTTGTGTCAACTGGCAGACACCTGGAGAGGAAGAAGTCTAAAGATGACAACTAGATAAGCACATATTCTGTGGGGGTGGGAAGAAAAAACCCTTTCTAAACATCAAAAACCCTTGTGGAAAGCTGCTTCGCCTTCCCATTTTGTTGCACACACCCAGACTGTAGAGGAGTCTGAAGGAGGTTATGTATTTATATGGTACCTAGCACAGCTGGCTGCATTTGTATCAGAGAACTCCAGGCACATAACAAATTTACAGGTGACGCTCTGGGAAACAGCTAGGATTAGTGTTGCCAAACTCAGCCAATTAGGTTGGCAATTAGTAGTGCCAAGCCAAAATACACTGCAGGTTCTTTTGTATAGCATTTCTGTATATAAGCATCGGCAAATTAACAATGCAGACTGGAAACTACCAGCCTGATTAATCTGTCAGTAGCTTTCCCTTAGTTCCACGTTGTTGCCATATATTCTGCATGGGTTGATTTTTCACGTGAATTAGTCAACGCGGGCATAAGGATCAATTGCAGAGTCCCGTCTTCAGCCGGGATGTCTTAAAGCTTGAAACAGCCCTGTCTTCTTGTCCTCAAATCCCTTTTTACAGAAGCTCTTCAAGAGCATCTAAGTGTTCCACTGTGTTAATTTTACACTAAGTGCATACACCACAGACACTTCCACAGCACATCTTATGTATTCATCTAAACAGAGCGCAACTCTTTTAGACTTAGCTAATGTAACGTAAATGAATTCAGGGGCTTTTACTGCAAACAGACTGAAAGTCCACCAGTGAGGTCTCCAAGTGAGGCTTGCTTTATTTCATACTCTGAATACACCTATTTTAAGCATACTATGCCACATTTTTGTGCCACGTCCTGCTACCTTAACCACTGGGATTTTTGTATGACTTGAGGTTTCAATAATTATATGCCAATAACTAGCCTTTCACATCATGGCTGTGATCCTTACTCTCTTATTTTCAAATGCACATCAGATACACTGAAGGTAGAAATGAGAGTTGGTAATGAGTGTGAGTGGGAGGCATGGGTTGGTGATGAAGATTTGCTTTGATTCCTCTGACTACAAAAGCTTCCTCAGTAAAGAAGATAGTTTAAAGTGTCTAAACAAAACCTTTGTCTATGCAAATTCAAAACCATTCTGACATAAAATTAAAGCTATTCTTAGTATTATTTCGTAAAGGTCATGAATATGTCGTCAGAGGATGATCAAAGTATTAAAAACCTACAACACGTTAAGAGGCAACAATACGTTAGATTTCCGGTGTTTTCGTTTCCAAGCAAAACACTGACCATTAATTCTTATTATTGATAGTAATGGAGGAAGCATCATCTGTTGTCAGAACTGGCTGACAATTTCTGTTGTAAAACCCACTTCTCGGTTGTCTTGAACTTTGCCAAACTAACTGTTTTGTCTATGATTTTATAAAAATTGAATATTTGTTTCAAGCTGCTTTTGTTTTAAGTAGCTGCTCTCAGACTAGCCAAAATAATTCAGAATAATTCATGAAAGGATACATTCCTTATCCCATTTTGAAAACAATGTTTTTATTATTATTTAATGCTTCCTCAATTCACAATTTGAAAGCAAGACTGAAAATCTGATACTGACAGAGTTTTAATTAGCTCTCAGAAAAATCTGGCTGAAGTACAACATTTTGTAAAGTCTCAGCTCATACATACCTAGCAGAGAAGTACTTCACTTTTACAACAAAACCCCTCAACACTCCTGCTTCACTGCAATTGCAGCAGACTGGGAGTGATCTAGGCAAAAGGAATGGAAGAAGAAAGTCCGCCTTGTTTTTTCAGTGCAGCTTCTTTCCCTGCAGTGGCCAAGAAGCTTGAAGGTGTGTTTCACCTCATTCAAATGCAAAGGAAGAAAAAGAGTGAGAGGAAATAGAAAAATCCATTAGGACTGGATAATAAAGAACCAGGGAAAACACAAATGAGACTGGACACTTGTCTGTGGACTGATGGCATTCAGTTGTTAAAAATCAGACCTAGTGGTGTCAGTAGCACTACTCCTAAGTCCTTCAGGAGTCTGGAAAGAACAGCTTGGGGAAAAAAAAAATAAATCCATTCCAATCCTTTAAGGTGTAAATTAATCAAAATATGTCACCTCAAATATAATTGAGGAAAGTTGAGGAACTAATAATTAATTGGTAAGCAGGAGTATACTAATACTCTAGAAGCACCTTCATAAAAATGCATTTGCCTAGATAATAAAGAAAATGAAGAGGTATATGTTGATTTATTAATCAGGAGTCACCTTGCCAACACACATATAATGAATAAAATAAATTTCCACTTGTCCAACCTTAAATTAATGTGTGTTTTATACTCATGAGCTGGAAATACTATATAGAAAAGTTACTTAAATTTTTGTTCGGTTACTTATTTAAATTACCCAGTGAAGTTCCACAAAGCTTTGACCTTAAAAAAAACCCCCAACAACACAGAGTAACAGATACCAAATGAAAATAAATACTTTTTTTTGGCACTATCTTAAATGAAGTCTTTCCCAGCTCCCTATTTAGCAAAGCCTTTATCTAGTAAATCACATCAAAGCCTGTTTTTTGCACCACTCCCTTTAATTCATCTGTGTTCTCCAAGTGAAGTCCACAAATTGATACTAGGGATCTCTCTCTCACTGGGCTAAAACATAAACCAGTGGTTACTCAGTAAAGCTGTCAATCAGCTAAGAATCTCCAGTAACTCCATACCTGTTATCATCCCATATTTTACTTGTGTGGTCCATGGAGGCAGAAGCCACAAAATCACCACATGAATGCCATGAGCAGTCCCAGACAGTGTGGGCATGTCCTCCTAAAGTCAGAACGCATCCACCTTTTGAACAGTCCCATATGTGCATTGGGGTATCCCCACTTGAAGTAACCAGCTGGGTGCCACTGTTATAAGGAATAAAAATAAAGAGCAAGGTTTTTAGCAAGGATATAGGTGATGATTTTTCAAAGTACACAGCAAAATAATTCAACTGTATTTAGAAAGACGGGTTAAGTAGTAGCAATTGTTGATTTTACATTAAAATACATATGAACAAAAAATTATGCTTGAAAACATTCATATTTTTACTTTAGACAGTTTTCTGACACATCATAGATGAAGCAGTCATGTATTAAATATGCTATCAAAAGAAAAGGAGATATGAAGCAGCTATCTTCCATGGGAAAGTAAACATGGCTTCCAAAAATGACATTCTTACTTTTTGTAGTCCATTTATGAGTTTATCAGCAAAATAACTTAAGCCCAGAGAACTGCTTTCAAAATAGAATAAAATAGCTTCAGGGAAGAATATTTTCTTATTTCCCAAATCCATACAAATTATTATTTAAGCATCACAATTTTGTCTCTTCTGACTCACTATAAACACTTTAACACATTCACTATCTCTTGGGGTCATTGATATGTTATATAAATGAAAAATACAGAGTTCAACTCTTTTTTTTTCTTTTTTTCCCCAAATCTTCAGATATAAACTAGTATAGTTCCATTTCTTTTAAGCATGGACATACAACTTCAGACTAAAAGTCCATCTGGTTCAGTAACATGCTCTACAACAACTAGTAGGAGATTCTTAATAAAAAGAAAATAAGAAAAAGTATGTAGAGTGATTCTCCAGTTAAACCCTCCCAGACCTAGGCTGTGGCTCAGGATTTCTTTGAGACATCAGCTTTGTGCTTAACAAGCATCCATGGAGGTTTTTTTCCATGACTAATTAATTTTTGAACATATGCAAACCTTCAGCACCCACAATCTCTTGTGTCAATGAATTCCAAAATTTAATTATGTATTGTGTGAAAAACTATTTTGGAGTCTTAAATACCTTACTTCATTTCATTTGATGCTTCCAATTCTAATATTGTGATTAAAAGTAAACACTGACTACACATTTACCATCTCTAAAGCAACTGTGATATTATAGGTCCCCTATCATATTTTACCCACAAAGTTGAAGCCTCTGACTCCATTGACATGTTCCTCAGACAGAAGTCATTCCATCCCTTTGATCACATCTACCATCTTTCTCAGCCCCTTTTGAGCTGAAACTGAAGAAACAGGTACCCAGGGAAGGTATATGACAGAGTAGTGTTTTCTGGTTTATTCTGTATTCTTTGAGTTTAATTAGCATTTTTGGTACTACTACACAGAAATTTTCAGAAAGCTGACCACAGTCATTCTAAAATTTCTTTCCTGAGTACTAACAACTACTTTAGACTCATTCTTATCTAGGTACAATTAGGACCATTTCTTCGTATGTGCATCACTTTGCATTCATCTGCACTGACTTTCATCTGCCACTTTACGTGTCAAGTCAACCGCTGCAACTGGAATTTTTTTGCTGTATTTCTTCACATGCAACCTTCACTTTTACTGCCCTGACTAATTAGCAAACTCATCCACCTCATTCTCTTCCCCAATTTCCAAGATCATCTTAATTTAGGTCCCAGCACAGATCCCTGTTGGGAATCAAATAATTTCTCCAATCAGAAAGTGACATTTAATTCCTATCCTTTCACCAGTTTTTAAACTCACAAAATAAATTTCCTTTTTATTGAGGACAGTTTTGCTTCTCAGAGTTTTTGTCAAATGGTCTTAAGAAGAATTTACTGAAAAATCCAAGTATACCGAATTTACAAACCTCCCTTGATCAAATGCTCAGCAGGCCTTTCAGAGAACTAACAGATTTCTGAGACTTAATTTCCAAAGCCATGCTTCTCCTAATGCTTCACTATAACAAATGGATCCCTGTATCCTGTAATTTTGCTTCTTAATATCATTTCTACCAGCCTTCCCACTATAAAAGTTGGATCAATTCAGCTACAGCCCCTTCATCCCAAATTCTTTTAAAATATCAGAAAAAAGTTAATGCAGCCTTCCCAAATTATACCAGGAATAATGGAGGTTTTCTATCATGTTTACTAAAAAAAACAGAAAAAATGTTTGAGGATAATACATGGGAATACAGGTCAAAA